AAATCTTAAAACAAGGCTTACCTCCTTACTTTCCTTTTGGTGTGTCTGCTTTTTTATCTCTCCAAGTTGAAACTTAACAGACTCTACATATGCCTCTGTATTATAAGTAATACAACACATATCCACACTGGAATATTCACAAACATTTCGGAAATAATGGAAATAATCAACGACTGGATTAAGGACTTGCATACTCCAGACATGTGTAACACACATACGCTTTAGTGCGGACTAATGGATGGTGCAACAAAGAATGTGATTTTTAAGATGTGGAGTTGTACTGTACATCCTCAGTTTCTAGTCTCTTATTAGTAAGCTAGCTACTACACTCAAAACAATTATTCTTGGCCCTCATAAACAGCGATAAAGTAAAATGCCGCTGAAATTTATAAATATACTTAAAAATAAAACTAAGTAAATTAATTAGATCAGATTCCATTAAAATGTACTATTTTACATTTGGTTAACAAAATTAATTGGGTGCAGTTGGCTCAGTTTAAAACGTAGTTTTTGAGCACAAATGTCCAGTTCAGGCTTTTTAGTTTATAGGCTGTTTATACATTTACTTCCACCCACACTAAATTAGCACAAACTTGTTTTTCAATATGCATCTTGGAGGACACAATTATCTTGATTGTTACTCTAAAACGGACTATATTACAAATGTAAACATGAACAAATTTAAAAGAACATGAAAAGGAATGTGGCACTGTGAATACATTATGCAAGGTTCTCAGTCATGCTACCTAAATGCAAATCAATATTTTGACTAAGGCAGTACAGAAAATAGCCTGTATGACTAAATGCTGAAGTGTAAATTTCCATAGTGAAAAACACAAATGAAACATTCAAAACATATCATTAGCAGACTGCACGGATTAATAGTCCTGAGTTTGCATGTAAGGTACAAGGAGAGAATACTTCCATCATTACACACACAATGTTAAATACTTTCCAATCTCAAGATTGAGATTTTTTTATATTCTTCTCTTTTTTTTTGTAATTTTTTTTAATTATGCTGTCTCAAAAGTTAATGCATGCCTTACACAACTTATAACAGAAAGCTTAATGCTAAGAAGCTGGGACTGACAGGACAGTTTCAACACCAGATCAACTTCCCATAACGAAGGGCACAAACTAGAGATGGACCGATCCGATATTACGTATCGGTATCGGTCCGATACTGACCCAAATTACTGGATCGGATATCGGAGAGAAATAAAAAATGTAATCCGATCCATTAAATATCAAAAAAGCACCTCACAAAACTTGCTACATGGCATAACTCGGCTCATAACCGTAGCACGTCGCAGCAGTATGCATCACTTGATAGAGCGGCTGTGTGTATTTGTAGCC